ACAAACACGCAGAGAGATACACATGCCGGCATTCGCCTGCCTGTTCCTCCGCTTCCTTCTCTTGCCTGCCCCTTCCCGAGGCCGACGGTTGTAGCGGCGCGAGTTCAAAGCTCGAGAGCGGGAAAGAGTGCGGGAACTTCCGGTGCAACGATCCAACGAGTCGGGCATTCCGCGGCGGCGAAGTTCGAGCCCAGGCTCGGGCCCGAGGCTCGGCTCTTAATGACGCCAGAATCAACGGCGGAAGTGTGCTTTAGAGTTCTCGAGCACGAGACTCGAAGCGATCCGAAGAGAGAGAGAGAGATCGCGTTGTTTGCCTCGTGAAGCCGTTTCGTAAACAGCTGCCCGATACTGGTTTCGCGATGTTCCGCGTTTTCTCGAGAGCTCGAGCGTCTTCTTTGGCGGCGAGTGAATTTCGAGAGAGAGAGAGAGAGAGAGACGATCGAATCGAATCGGATCGAATGGAATCGGAGTTCTAACGCGCTGCTCGAGAGACTGACGAGAGGAGGATTTTTTGGAAAATATTTCCCCACTTACGGCCGAATTAAATCTCGGCATCTTTCAATTCTGCACTAGCGCTGTTGTCGACAAAAGTGTTTCTGCCCGTGCAGGATCGTGCCTAAAGAGGAATTGAACTTGTGTGTCGAGCGTACGTGTTTCGAAATGATTTTTATTAGAAAAATGTCATGACTCACACACACGTGCGTCATCCTCTCGGCTATAGGAAATTATTTCTCTATCACGCAGCCCGTTCGCACACTATATGCATCGCTAATTTTACATGTTAGCAACTGTGCTCCATTATTCAAACATTCTAATATCCGAACGTTATATTACCAGTACAGAGAGTGTCTGTAAGCGGAAAATCGCGTGTTACTGGCAGATGTTCTGTTGGGATATATTACAATGTTGGGATATTAAGATATCCGGATATTCGAGTAGTAAAATATTTTTATGTGACGTTGAAACCAACCGTTCCGCGATACTTCAATCGAGTTCATTTGCATCGACACTGACCATTTGAACATTTTCGTTAGACACTTTATTGACATAAAACAGTGTGCTTGAATGATTCTCCGTAAAATACATAAATAAAAGTTTGTATTGTGAAAGATCTTCTGTCCTTTCTTTCGTTTTATCATCTACTGGCGGAAATTTTATGCTTTAGTCGTTGGTAGTTCTAGGCGTCAATATAATGTCTTTTTTTCATTGTAACTCGAGAACTAAATTGATCGATTAGAATTCTGCAATTTAAATGACAGTAATAATTAGAATAATTAAATTAGATGCACGCACTTGTACGTAATTATCTATCCGCTTGAAAAACGCAGAGAATCGACATTGATTTTTCACAAAAATATCTGCAATTTCTCTGCAACCATGAATTTGGTAGTTCCAGCAGTAGTCGCGTCATTGAGAGAGAGAGAGAGAGAGAGAAACACAGGAAGGAAAGAGAAAGAAAATTATCGTGAAAAGAGCCACATATATACAAAGTCGGCTAAGAAAAGGATTTCGAAACGTGAAAAAAAAGAAAAGAAAAGGAAAAAAAAAAGCGAAGCGAACAACGGTGGCCAGAGTTATCGTGAGAGTAAGATATACGCTATTGATCGGTGTTAACAACCGGAAGTAACACGATACGCTATTGACACGTTATAAATAAGAAGGGGGCAGGCAAGGTAGCAGGCGCGCGTGGTTCGCGAGAAGCCTCCGCATCGGAGCCAGGACGACGCGATTACGCGCTCCCGGCCACTCTCGGCTCGGCCGTTTTTTTAAATTACGCCGTAAATTACACGGCATCGCGTGAGTATCCCAAAGTATTTAATAAGCATGCATACGCGTTTGTTTATGCGCCGAGGAGGAACTTCCCACTGCCACCATCCCCTCCCTCCACACCTCTT